AAAGTGTTCACTTTAGATCCTCAGGGTAAACAAATTATAGCTTTCAAAATATAAACTAAAAATTTACCATGGAAATATTTCAATCAAAAAAAAAAAGAAGTACTGCCATCATGTGCCTCACTTCTCTTTTGACTATTATTTGTAGGAGCCTGTTTTAATGCTAATTGACAAAATGTCTTTGTTGCTTTGATATAAAAAGATAATTGTGCTCCAGAAAAAACACACATCTACTAACTTTTACTGACCCTACACTTGGACTACACTTGACTAAATCAAAACTGTGGCTTACCACTTTAACACTTAAGAGTATGCTGAAGCAGTCCATGGCATCTGGGAAAAAGCTCATTGGCTTACAGCAGTGGTGAGACATCATAACCACACACACACACACACACACACACACACACTATGGGTTCTCACTATATAAATGGCCATAATGAAGTTTCCCTCAAAGCCAGAAAACAAGACTCTCTTGATGATGTCATCCAGAGAAAAACACTGAAGGTTTTCCAGGCGAGTGTAGAGGGCTAACAGCGTAGCTCTTTTGGTTCACATCAGTTTTGAATATGCATAATGAAACGTTTAAGCATTCCATTTTCATGCAGAAAAAGGTAAAATGAGACTTTTGTTGTTGGGGCAATTTGGTTTCTGTGCTGCTGAGCAACGCTTCCTATTAGAATATTTGGCTAACACACTGCAGTTGTTTCCAATTGCTGGGTTACAAATGACTGCCTATATTGTTGTAAACTACAGACAGGTTTGATCCTAAATGAACGCAGAATGGTTATAATCAGTGCTTAGAATCTAACACAAGAAATCCCTATTGAGCCTTGTTTTCCTTCATCTAATTCATCCATGATTGAAGGAAAACCTAAATACATGCAGCTGAAACATTTGCATCATAAACAAAACAGATGAAATTCACTAACAGACATTTTCCAGTTGACACAAGGCGCTGCCTGGGTTTCTGTGTCCCTGAGTGTCTGGACTCCTGATTGCTATGCACACACATGTCTCAGTGGAAGGTGGCAGAACAAATTGCCATCATCTGAAATGCGTGCGTGTCTGGGTGTTTGCGTGTGCATGTATGTGTGTATGTGTATGTGTGACCTTGACATATTGCTAATCCGTTCAAGGAGAAACACTTGACCCGATAGCTGCAGGGCCAAAGAGCAATACTGACAGAGCTTACCCCTGTGTATGTGCCTGCAATGCTGTGCATGCTGTGCAAGTGAGTGTGAGAATTTGTGTTTGTGTGTATGTGTGGTGGGGTGTGTGTGTGTGTATGTGTGTTCATCTCACCTGCTTTATAAACTTGAATTAAACTGCCTGCCACCATAACTCAGCTGAAGTGCCCTGCTCCAAAAGACCAACAAATTACTCAGAGATTTAATATCTCTGATTGTGTGTTTGACACCTTTACGGCACAACACTGATTGCCATTATCCAGCTACAAACTGCGTATTTAGTTAATGCCTTGAAGTGTTAATTCTTCAGTTATTAAAACAGCCTGGAGATGCTAGAGAATGAGAAAAATAGAGGCAGAAAAGAGAAACGGAGTGACAGAACGAAACAATAAGCACAAGATGAGCAAAGCCAGAAAAAAAGCTAAAAGAGGAGGAGACAATGGGAAAGGGGAAATAGGAAAATGAGTGGGAAGGGGAGATGGAAATTCAGCAGAGAAATGCTGAATTGCTATTGCATGGTATGGTAGCAAAGACACTTTGCTCAGCAAGCTCTAGCTGCCAGGAAGCATTTTAATCACAACAGTAGATCCAAATAGGAGCCGAAAGCGGGGTAGGTCAGGAGGTTGGGTCGATTTGAAGTAAAAGGTTATCGCAAGAGGGGGCTGAGTGTAATCAGATCTGGTTATGGGTAAAATCACTGTTATAACAGAAAGAAAGAAAGTGAAGGATGAAGGGACAGACAAAGTCAGAGGAAAATACATATTAAACAGAAAGAAGAACAGATTGAAAGAGAAAGAGAAAAAGTAAAATAAGGCAGGATTTTTATCATCTTTTGCCTTTCTGATTTCTATTGGTACTTTAAGCCTTGTCAGAGGCATCCTCTATCACCATACCTCCACCTAACCTCCAAAAGATGTCTTGTGTGAAATATTTATACCCTGTGTGAAGAAGTTGTTTGAAAAAAACAAACAATTTAATAGATTACAACATAGGCAGCAGGATACTTCTGAAAATAATGTAGAATTTTTATTTAATTTAGTTTAGAGGATTTATAATTTAGTGTAGAACAAGAAATAAACATTATAGGATGATGCAGACACAACCATTATTTCTTCCCAACACGCGTATAAATATATACATATACTCATACATCAATTATCTTGTTGAAAAGGTAAGCCACTGAATAATATGGCCTTCACTGCTATGTGTGAATTTCTGTGCTGCTGGCGTCTGCATTCACGTGTTTACCTCGGAGAATCTCAGAAGCCTATACGTACACTTGCCTGCATCTGTCTCTCAGCATGTATCGGCTGAAACGTAAGCCAAAAACAGCACATTACCCATCTTTCATTGCACCCAGAGGAGGGCCCGTTCCATTTGAGAATGTTATTAGCGGAGCTTAGTAGGATATTTCCAACTGTGTCACTAACTCTCTGCTGACAAAGAGAAAAACATCCTCTTATTCCAAAGCAATGCAGAGAGTAGTGATGCTCTGTTCTAAATTTAAATGTTCTTTAAAGCTCACAAGCTAAAATAATTGACAAATATTTTGTACAAGTGTATAAAATGTGTTTTTTTAAATAATTCTATCATAGATCATTTGTTTTGTTTTATTAAAATGAAACACCTAAAATAAATTAATAAATACTGACATGTGCAAGTCACTACGCTAATTAATAACTGAAGCAACCCAGTTCTGCAAAAGTTAAAATGCGAGACATTATTTACAGCCAAATAAAATTATCTGAATGAAAAACAAGGGTCATCATGATGGATTTGCTTCTGTAGCATGAATAAGAGCAACATGGGAAAACAAGATTTCCATGGTGTGAGTCTGTTAGAGAGATACTGTCTGTTAAAGTAATACATATGGACATATGGGCAGTTTGTTCTGAGTGTCTGCTGAATGGACTCCATCAAAGCCCCCAGTTGTCCTTTTGAGACTTCACTCAAGCAGAGCCACACTGTCAGTATAAGCCAGGTAAACCGGGAAGGTGGGGTCAATTTTTGTTATTGATATTTTTTTTACCCACTTGACCTTTCTATAACCTGAGCACTCAGACAAGTCCCAGTTGTCTTTTATGGCTGAATTGACCAGAGCAATGACGCTTGGAAAACTACTGTTGTGGGTTCAATTCTGAGACTAGTGAAAGGATCTTTGAAGGAACAATCCATTCTGTTAAATGAGGCTTAAGTTAAAAGAACTAACAAGGCTTTTTAGGTGATTTCAATCAAATATCTCAACTCCCTTGCTACACAGCTGCCGCAGAGCTGTCACGTGACCATCACTCACAGCAGGATTCAACCTTTCCTTTCCCTGGACTGTTGTTGGGGTCTAACAATCCTAAAATGATTTCCCCATGTGATCACTGTGTATGCAGTGTCACATCGTAATACTGTCTGCTAGAGTGATATTGAGTCTGGTTGGGTTTAGTCTGGCCTGTGTTCTTTTGGTGACCTTAATCAGTCTCCCAGATGTCATATTAAATTCTTCACCACACCGTAACAGAAAGCTGCTGATATGGTATACTAAATTTATAAAGCTAAGTCTCTGCTTAGAAAAGTTCCCCCAGCATGTATCATTTAGTGTACAACCCATTTTGAAGGCTCTACCCAAATACAAGTTTTCTCCTACGAGTCTTGAGTGTTAAAAGGTATAGCACCTTTACACGTCAAAAGAAAGCCAAATAAACAGTCAGAGTTCATCCATCCATCATCTTCCGCTTATCCAGGGTCGGGTCAAGGTGGCAGCAAGATAAGCAGGGTATTCAAGACATCTCTCTCGCCCGAAACACTTTCCAGTATCTCCTGGGAGATCCCAAAGCACTCCCATTTAATACCTCCAGCAAGTTCTGGGTCGACCCTCGGGTATCTTCCCAGTTCGGGCATGTCCGAAAGACCTTCAAAGGAAGGCACCCAGGAGGCATTCTTCAGATCAGATGCCTGAACAACCTCGTCTGGCTCCTTTTGATGCAAAGGAACAGTGGCTCTACTCCGAACTCCCACCGAATATCAGAGCTGAGCTAAGGCTGCCAACTCTCTGACACCCCCAACAACCCTGCAAGGCTAAAGAGCTGGACCCTTGTTCCACGGCCAGGTATGTGGTTCAACAATCGGGTGGCACCTCCTTTCCAGCACCCTAGAATAGACTTAGCAGTGTGATACCCAGATAATTGAAGCACACCCTCCGGTTCCCCTTTTTGAAAATGGGACTGGGGGAATGGGAATGGGACCTGGGTCTGCCACTCCACAGGTACTGTCCGCGACGTCCATGTGACACTATAGATGCTTGTCAGTCAAGAGCCAGCTTTTTGACTGGCTATCCCCGAGTCAGGGTTATAAAATGTAACTCCACAGAAGACGTGCTGGTCGGGTTTAGGAGCTCCTCAAAGTGGTCTTCCAGCACTGGACAATATCTCGCGGCAATATTGATATTAAGACGATTTTAACTAACTCACAATCAGAGCTAAGAAACAGTCTCTGGAATCTGCACCCCACTCCAGTGTTTCCCATTCATTTATTTATGGCGTCACAACACTCATTCTATATTTATATAGTATTTTTTCATTATTAGTGGCATAATTTGTCTAGGTTGCCTAATTTGTAATTTTATCTCATCCTTCATTGTTTGCTCTCCTAACAGCATCTTCTACTGCTGCTGGTTCACATTCAAATCATTCAACTGTTCATGAGTGATTGTATTTCTGTGAGAGTATATGAACCATGAACTCACCCAGTCTCTTACATAGTATAGTGTAAACAGTATCTTCTAATCATTACACTTCACATGCATGCTTACGGTCATGTACTCACATGCGATGCGGACGTGTGCCTTGCGGCTTTTGGTTGTTCCAGCGGAGCTCCAGGCCACGCACTGACACCAGTAATCTTCAGGACCAAACAGCTCCTCAACCTGCTGTCGGGTAATTTCTATACTGGCTTCTCTTACCACCAGACCTGCAGAAGAAAGCAAAAGCACTGCTGAATCATTTGCAACATCAGTTGAAGCTTAGATTCAAAAGAAGACTACTGCAAAATTTAAATGAGTTACGAGTTCTAGTTTCTCAGTGAGCCACTGATACTCAAGAAAAAGTAAAAGCAAAAGTCTATTGAAGCTTCTACTCTGGTGATATGGCTTTCATGTTAGCTTAAGAAGAAAAAGCCAAAGCGGTGCACAGTATATATCTTAGCAAGTAAATAGAAGCAGGGGATAATCATACATATCTGCGGCTCTTTACAAGCCCAGGTCATTTTACTGAGTAGATTCAGTACGGATTTAATGTAAACTTTGTGAGATTATTCCTTTGCGCTTCTACCACTTATCTCACTCTGCTCTCCAATTCCCTATTTTCTCTGGTGTTTTGAAAGCTGTTCCATGTGAAGAATAAGTGTGAGGTTTAAATAGCTGCACCCCACTGATAGTACTGCAAGGAAGCAATGATAGAGGAGGAATGTAGAGAAAAATAGGAAATTAGGAGTGAGGGATAAATTCAGGATGAAAATGTGGGAGAAATCAGTAAGGGACTTGTAGAACACAGGTGCACGAGCAGGGGGAAAAGACCTTAAGAAGATTGTTGAAATGCATGACAAAAGAAAGGAATAATGAAGAAAAACAAAGTAGGAGGTGGTACGGATGAAAAAAAAGTTAAGCTCACTGGCTAGGAAGAAAGAAGAGAGAGAGAAATGGTAGGCTGGTATGAGTAATGGAGAGCAACATGACAGAGTCACAGTGAGAGGAAGAGAGAGGATGACAGAGTAAGAGGTGGGAGAGGGCAATGAAATGTGAAACGGAAAGGAAAAGGAAGAGGAGATAAAAATGGGTTTTAGGTAAGTAAGTATGTGTGGACTGGGGAGTAGACCGGCAAAATGCTATGAGAAAAGATTTTGGCAGTTTATTTCAGGTTCAGCAGTGTTACGAAGACCCAAGCAACGATCTCTATGGGGCTCCACAAATCTGACTTGGGCCTATTACTTATGAAGACTTGCAGTAAGTTCTTGCCACTAGAGGAATTGAAAGACAGTTTTAGTAAGCATGCCAGCAAAAAAAGGCAAAGGGGACAGACAGGAAGGCAAAAAGCAAAATCCAGTGAACAGGATTGTGGCGGAAGAAAGGCCATTAATGGCAGGCAAAAGATTTAAAGAGAAACCCATGAGGGCAAAGAGTAAGAAAGGTAAGAAAAGCTTTTGTGGAAGCTAGCTGGGAGATTGGGAGACATGGATTTTGAGTTTAAAAAGAGTGCAAAGAAGGGACTTGAAGATGGAAGAGATGGAAAGTAAAGGGGGGGCTAAGAAGATATGGCAATTCAAATAGTATTAATGGCACAAAGGGCAAAGAGGAAAGTAAGGCAGAAAGTAAAAAGCTTGTGGAAGGTACTGCTGGCACAACAAGGGATAATAGCTAGTGAGGACGAGAAAGCTATAATGGCAAAGAGCAAAGACGGTATAAAAACCACTGTGAATACCAGCACTTGAGCAAACTAGCAAACAAGGGAGATCATTATGGCTTCAGAGCTTAAAATGAAAGAGCAAGGGACACAGCAAGAGGGGTACAGGCTAAGAAAACAATGGCCAAAGTGGCAATTATAACCAGCAAGCAACCCAGGACTAAAGCTGAGACAACTAGTAGGCAGGCAGTTGCAATCAGCAAAAACAACAGCGTGAGAACAAAAAGGACAAAAGAGATGGGTAGGAGGGAGAGACCAGTGAGCACGCTACTACTGAAATAATGAGGAAAGTAAGCCAATTCAAGTGAATGGTTCAAATGAGCCAGACAGCTAGTTATGGCAAATGGACTCAAACAAATGCAAAAAAAAAAGCATATGGGATGGTACATGGACAGGTCCATGGGGGTTGGGGACACAGTAAGAGGTTGGGAGCAAGCTTGTGCTTAAGACAAAGTAAAAGGAAAAACATGCACATTTAATGCTTTTGCATCACTGTGTACATGGCTTATTAAGCTGAAGGTCAAAATTATATATATATATATATTATATATATGAAAATATATAGGAACAATTCAAGTATTAATGGAGACATGTATGCAGCAAAGCTAAAAATTTGTAGAAAACAGAATACATTTACACTCAGAATCAAATGAACACTTTTGTCAAAAATATATGACAAATCAGAAAATATGAAATATGAACATAGGAAAGAAAAAAACCCCAGCACATTCCAGAAAACACTCAAAACTACAAATATAAGTCTGCACTATTTATTGGCTAGAGAATAATACTGCAGCATGAGGGACAGTGGCTTTACCTCAGGTTTTCTGACTGAAGATTTGCAGCTGACTTGCATTGCATAAGAGGATGCTTTCTCCCGGCAGAGGACTGTTTTAGTAGCTTTATGTTGCACTTACACGGCGCACCTTAGTAAATATAGTCTAAGCTACCTCAAGTTTTACACCTTGCCCTTGGACTCAACATTGCAGTTATTTAATCTTTAATCTTGAACTGGGCTTGTTTGGAAGTGGTTCCAATGAAAGTGCAGCTAACTAAAAAGCTCCAATACAGAAAGCTTGAAGTTTCCAGAGACATATTCATAGACTGCATAAAATTTGTGGATATCGCCTCCGGGTCTGAAAAGCACTGTTTCTGATGGCCAGCAGGGGGAGATTCCGCAGGTTACAAAATATATATCCAATTCTAGAGAAGTCTTTAAGAAAATGGCACTACTTCTCACTCTTCACGTGGCTACATTGTGATTAAAATGTCGCTACCACGGTGACCTGTCAATCAGGATAATGGCATAGCAATGCATATCTAGCCCCAGCTTCTTCCTATCATCCAAATATTGTTTTGTTCATAGTGTGTATATTAGTGTTGTCTACTCTGTAGTTTGTGTCTGATTTTATTTTATTATATTATTATTTTATTATTGTATAAGTAAGTACATCGTGAGCAATGTACAATCCTGAATCAAATTCCTCATATGTGTACACATACCTGGCAATAAAACTGATTCTGATTCTGATTCTGAAATATGGTCAGTTCTGGTTCCAAAAAACAAAATGATGACTGCCAAAATGCCAAACTTGAGGATTCAAAACAGTCCACAAACCAATTGGTGGCATCATGGTGGCTAAGTCCGCGTTTTATATATATATATATATATATGGGCTATGTATTCTATTCTATGTATGCTATTCCCTGTACACCAACAACTGCACCTCCAGTCACCAGTCTGTCAAGTTCCTGAAGTTTGCGGATGACACCACCCTCATTGGGCTCATCTCAGGTGGGGATGAGTCCGCATACAGGTGGGAGACCGACCATCTGGTGACCTGGTGCAGCCAGAACAGTCTGGAGCTCAATGCTCTGAAGACCGGTGAGATGGTTGTGGAGCTCAGCCCCAGCCTCCCCCATCATCCTGTGTGACTCCCCAGTCACCACTGTGGACTCCTTCTGCTTCCTGGGTACCATCTCCCAGGACCTCAAGTGGTAACTGAACATCACCTCTATCATCAAAAAGGCCCAGCAGAGGATGTACTTCCTGCGACAGCTGAAGAAGTTCAGCCTGCCAAAGACAATGATGGTGCACTTCTACACCGCCATCATTGAGTCTATCCTCACCTCCTCCATCACCATCTGGTACGCTGCTGCCACTGCCAGGGACAAGGGCAGGCTGCAGCGTATCATTTGCTCTGCAGAGAAGGTGATTGGCTGCAATCTTCCTTCTCTTCTGGACCTGTACGCCTTGAGGACTCTGAGGCGAGCAGGAAAGATTGCAGCTGACCCCTCCCACCCCGGACACAAACTGTTTCAGACTCTCCCCTCTGGCAGGAGGCTGCGGTCCATCAGGACTAAAAATTCTCGCCACAATAACAGTTTCTTCCCATCTGCGACTAGCCTCATTAACAAGGCCCGGGTCCCCTACTGACACTCCCCCCTTGCAAATGATACAAATGTCTCTGCACATGTAAATACCGTTTCATCTCGTGTCGGCCTCAGACCTGGGACGTCGCACATATTCGTTGTTGATTGTTGATCTTTGTTGTTGTATATTTTTATGTTGTCAGTTTATATATTTATATGTACACAATATTCTCTTCCGTTGCGTTACTTCTGCACAGCACAGACCCAGAATAATGCTCATGTATATATCTGTAACGTTGTTCTTCCATTCCATATTTATATATTTCTACATTTATTTATGTTGACTGTATGTTTGTCTACGTGTAGCACCTTATCACCACAGCAAATTCCTCGTATGTGTAAAACACTACTTGGCAATAAAGCTCCTTCTTATTCTGATTCTTCTGATTCTGAATCTGATGAATGTATTATTAGTCTAATTCTAATCAAAATAAATGTTGATTGGTTTATATTCAGCATTAATTTACCAGTAAAATATTCCAAATACCATTTACTAAAGTAAAATATTTAGACTTATGAATATTGTGCTTAGCTCTGGATGCAAACTCTGGACCCAAACAGTGTCAAGTGATGTGTACAGTGAGTCAGTCATGTGTAAAAAGTCACCTGTGCCACAATTTCAACTACATTCTCTCATTTATAAACTACAGTTATGCAAGCAAGTAATACAATTTATAGTTCATCCCATCCATGACCATAAAACAGTTTAGTTGCTCTGAAACTGTTCTTAGTTGGTGAGGTGATTCACATTTAGTCAAGGTGAATGAAGTAAGTATACTTTAAAGAGAAAGCTGGAGGATACTGTAGTAAGTATTGCACGTAATGAAAGAGGGAGATATCAGTTATAGAACAAAATAGTGCAGAGACAGTTACAGGGATATGAGAAAACAGACAGAAAGCAGGAAAACAAAACAAGAACAAGACATACAGTATATAAAGCGAAACAGAGACCATCAGGGAAAGCTGAGTTGGTTTCACAGCAGGGGAAATCAATGATTGTAATGATGAAACGTGTTCAATTTCTCAGTGAGGTTGAATTTGACCCTGCTGGCTTAGTGTGGATGGAAGGCAAAAATGGCG